ACACTATATGAATTATCCAGAGAAATAAATAGAGAAATAAATAATAATCAATGAAAATTGCAGCGAATTATTTTATTTGCAGATATTTCAAAAAATGGTGCAATTATCTAGAAGGATATCATTATGTTTGCAATGCTGGTACTCAATTATTAAGGTAACGAAAATATTCGTGGTTAGAGGCTTTAAACTATTTTGAGGGATAAAAGTTGAATGAAATAATGATGAAGATGTGATTTGTTCGAGTTTGTATCTGACACAAGCATTGGTGGTGTTTTTTTTTTATGTAAAACTAGGAGGAGATGATAGAAGAGTGCAGACATGTCAACAGTTTAGATGTATTTTGTTCTGATGTAAATAATATAGATGTAGAGATTTAGGGTGTTAGTGTCTAGAGGGTGCCTACTGGTTAGTAGAGAGCCTTATAGTTGTATGAATGCGGAGATATCACTTCGAAATGATTTATTTCAATTATCATTCTTTTCCGTGTCATTAAGTCCTTCGGCGGGAATATTTTCTTCAACGTGAGGACAACCACAACCACCTGTTGTAATTAATTCTTAATCAAGAGGGTCATGGTTTTAATGGTTGATATGACGGTTTCTTTACTGATCAATCCATTTTTCTATCTGCGGACAGAAATATTCAAGAAAAATTACGGAAAATTTCACGTTATCTGCGAGCGATGCAATCATCACATAAATTCTACGATCTATTCTGTAAAAATTACTCATTCATCTGACGCTTCATGGCTAGCTATGAGTCACTTCTGTAATTTTTCTGGAAAGATTCCGTAAAAATTCTTGGATATCCAAGAATTTTTCTGTTCTGGGGCATAATAAGTTTTGAAGTTTCTTTCGATTTTGAAACTTCCAGAAAAATTACCCGAAAAATGACGGAAAGTTCCAGATTTATTCCCCGAAAACGATTTTCGCTGGCGGATTACGTGAAATATTCCGTAATTTTTCTTGAATATTTCTCTCCGTGTCGAGACTCAGAAAACACTGACGGTGAAATCCGCGATGTGAAACGGCATTTTTACGAATTCAAAATCATGAATTATGATTCCAAAAACCGTACGTTACATCAGAAATTTCTGAGGTAAAAAATCCGGTAAATTACGTTTTATTCCTCGTATTTTACCGTTGGTGTTATCTGCATGAATGATAAGGGTAA